CGCTCACACAACATACTAATACCATTATTGATCCTGGAGAGATTCAGGCTACAAGTAATAGGATTTTATTATTAAAAGGATTGTTTTATGTTCTGGGTGTCATATACCAGAAAAGAAAATGGTGTAATTACTGGTGCTGCGCTGGGATCTTCAATGTTCATATGATTAAAGAGACTAAAACAACGTTAACCCTTTTTTTACTGGTTATTGTTATTCTGGGAGTGTAAGAAGTAATAATCCGTATCCTGCACCTCCATCAGAGCTCTTAGCTACTGAATATTAGGAAGCCTTGCGAACCCTGCTTAAAATAAAGGGAAGTCTCTGAAGGTGGCGAATCCTGTGACATCATTCTGCATCCTGTGCGCAGAGCACCCCTAACGGTATTGTATGTGTGTAGTTCTTTAATGGCGGCCCTAATTCCATCCACGGTTTATATGGCGTTATATTGTCAGTGCAGCGTGGGCCGCTCAGGGTAGGCCTCTAGAATTACTGACCATTAGAACTCTCGGGGTGTTTGCAAACTCTGATGCGTTTAACACAAAATTCAGATTTTGTTTCACTCTCTGGATGAATGTCACTCCCTGTAGCGTTGGTGACATCATATTATATACATATATCATAATAAATTATCCTCCCTGACCCAGAAATCCGATATCAGATCTAGAAAATTCCTCCTCCTCCTCACTCTCTCCGTAGCCAATCACACCTGTCCCCAGGAATTGCCGTATCCAATCACGTTAGGGGAAGCTGTGTAAGGATGTCTCCCAATATTTCCCTAACTATACAATTCTTGCAGGCAGGACATGAAGTGAAGAGTGCGGTGGTGAATTGCTTTCCCCGGTATTAAGTAAAAAAGCACCTGCTGTTTCAGACATCAGCGACTCCTTCAAGATTTGTCATATTTTTATTTGAGTTCTTGTAACTATTACACATTTTTTCCATAAAAGCATTTTGTATTTTTAGCTGTGTACGTTTCAGTGCTCTATAATTAACTGGTATTTTTCTTGACTTCATACTAAAATCAGCTTTAGAGTCATAAAACAAATGTGGTCAGAGGAATGGGAGCTATCTGGCATCACAGTTGTGAGCATTCGATGCTTACCGTTGCTGCTGTGCCGGCCGGTCACTGTACTGTTCTTTATATTTATTTTTATGTCCAAATAAATGATTGATCAATTAAAGGGGTATAATTCCAAAATGGCAAGGCCCGTTGCAAGTGGCAAGATATTGGGATCTGAAAAAGCAAAGTATAATACTGAGAGTGTCCCTTTAATTCTGGCCCAGTTCTGTGAATACATTTAATTTTATGCATTATACGTGAAGGGTGAGTATGAAAAGGATTAACCTGTTGAGGTCCAGATAGAGCAAGGTGTACAATTATTCCATGAATTTAATAATCTTGTCAGTGGCAGAATAAACGGAGGGTAAGGAGGATCCAGGTTCACATTGTGTAAAGTATCTCAGAGAGGAACCCCACCTATGGGAAGCAGTTAGGGTACTGGAGCGACAGAGACCGTGAGTTCTAATCCCCAGCAGGCAGCCTGTGGCTCCATCCATCATATGAAGCTGTCATGTTCGCACAACAAGCCCTGATCTATTAGTGTCTCCAGAGCATCTTATTAAGCAGGAGCAATTGATGAAGATGGTCCGTGTGCCACTCAGCCTGCTCACACGTCAGATTCCAAATCACTCCTGAAATGTAATTAACGAGCCAAAGAGGCTGTCTAATAGAGCGTCCGACAAGAGAGAAGCACAGCCAGGCATGTAATGTGACACAGCAGAGCATCTCGGATTATACTGGTGTGGTCCAAAACATCACGTTCCACGTAACATCTTCTATGAACAGTGTAGCTAAATAATTCTACATTGATAGCCAGTTTCCTGCCTCTGGCAATTTCTCAGGCCTTTCTATTCCTTCTTATTAAGTGTCCCTGTGTGTTATCTTGTATATATCTCCTCTACAAGTCTTTGTCGCACTCAATGACCGAGAGCGCAATGTTACCTGGATTTGTGAGTTAGGTATCTCTCATGCTGTAGAGATAGAGATTCTTGTAATGGTTTTATAACGGTGACCAGTTCAGCATTAATTCCTTTCACCTAAATGTTAATTTCAGTTCTTCACTCCAATGTTGTCTGGTAGCGGTGTACCAATAAAGTTTAATATACATGTGTGAATTACCAGAACATCCGTATACCTGGCATAAATCCGAATTCACCGTCATTAGAGCCCACACTTGGATCGCAAAAAAACCTGCACAATTCTTCCTCTTACTTTTTTATTTTAATGCTTATTTAACAGTTTCTCCCTGAAGTGGTTTGATATTATTTATTATTATTATTCATCTCTAGAAGACAAATCCTCATTAAAATGGTAATTCTTGTTTTTTTCCCCCTTTTCCTTTTAATTAGATGTAATTTCTTTGGAAAGCATCGGAGATCAGGCAGCTGTCAGTGGGAGAACCATCAAAGGTGTCTGTGTGTTTAACTGATTAAAAGAGTTATTAGCGAGGGCGCCTGGTAGGCTGGGCAAGATCAGAGCTAGGCACCCGTAGGCAAATCTCCTTTCTAGCCTGATCAGTGTTAACTGTTAGCATGCCAGGCAGTCCTGCAGTCTTTATTTTTGTCCAACTCCATGGCACATATTGCAGCCACTCGAATGACAGTGTGCATCTATGTCTTAGGATGGTAACTGGAAGCCTCCAGGTATTCATCGTACGAGACAGGCGTCCCCGGAGCAGCACAAGACTCACAGCCACTCATTATCATCTGAGAGTTGCAGTAAAATTCCATTTTGTCTTTACTTTCCCGGTCAGTCACAAGGTTCTGGATAGACTTTCCATATGTATCGAGATTGATCTAATATTCTGGATGGCCAGTTTGTCAGTGCCTGATTGTGTGGTTAATTGAATTGCCCGTATTGAAGCAGTTGCCCCAATAACTAGTAATAATAAAACACCATTTGGGAGGCAGGGTTACCATGTAATGAGAGGGGGAGCACCTATAGTTTAGTGTGACTGCACAAAATTCACCATTCCACTTAATCATGTGCTATCCCCCCATAAAATCCGCCCATTCCCCTTAATCAGGTGCTATCCCCCCATATAATCCGCCCATTCCCCTTAATCAGGTGCTATCCCCCCATAAAATCCGCCCATTCCCCTTAATCAGGTGCTATCCCCCCATATAATCCGCCCATTCCCCTTAATCAGATGCTATCCCCCCATATAATCCGCCCATTCCCCTTAATCAGGTGCTATCCCCCCATATAATCCGCCCATTCCCCTTAATCAGGTGCTATCCCCCCATATAATTCGCCCATTCCCCTTAATCAGGTGCTATCCCCCCATATAATCCGCCCATTCCCCTTAATCAGGTGCTATCCCCCCATATAATGCACCCATTCCCCTTAATCAGATGCTATCCCCCCATAAAATCCGCCCATTCCCCTTAATCAGGTGCTATCCCCATAATCCGCCATTCCCTTAATCAGGTGCCATCCCCCATATAATCCCATTCCTTAATCGGCCATCCCCCAACTAATCCGCCATTACCTTAATCAGGTGCCATCCCCCATATAATTCGCCCATTCCTTAATCAGGTGCCATCCCCATATAATTCGCCCATTCCCCTTAATCAGGTGCTATCCCCCCATATAATGTGCCCATTCCCCTTAATCAGATGCTATCCCCCCATAAAATCCGCCCATTCCCATTAATCAGGTGCTATCCCCCATATAATTCACCCATTCCCCTTATTCAGGTGCTATCCCCCCATATAATCCGCCCATTCCCCTTAATCAGGTGCTATCCCCCCATATAATGCGCCCATTCCCCTTAATCAGATGCTATCCCCCCATAAAATCCACCCATTCCCCATAATCAGATGCTATCCCCCCATAAAATCCGCCCATTCCCCTTAATCAGGTGCTATCCCCCCATATAATCTGTCCATTCCCCTTAATCAGGTGCTATCCCCCCATATAAACCGCCCATTCCCCTTAATCAGATGCTATCCCCCCATATAATCTGCCCATTCCCTTTATTCAGGTGCTATCCCACTTTATTATTTGCCCATTCCCCCTTTAATGTACTCATTTATAATCTGCCCATTCCCACTAATCATGTCCCATCCACCTCTTAAACACTGCCCATTCCAGACACTAAGATTGGATCAAAAAGTGAGTGTGAGGTGGCATTGCCACTTTAATCCATTCATTGTGCTAAGAGATACTTATGGTGCTTCCATGATGAGTTGGTCCCCACTCCCAAAAATCAGCGGCAGCCGGACTCACCCTGTGATGTGAAGGGCATCAATACACTGGCAAATGGCTACTAAAAACTAGGGCTTATTCTAAAAGAGCCTAAAATGTATTTTCACTGGTAAAACTACTTCTGTCTACTGGGAAAATAGTACATAGTATGCATGTGGTCAAAATGTAGATCCCAAGTTCATGTTCAACAAATGGACCACTTATTGACCACTTGTGACATATATAAAGCAAGAGCCGGATTGAGCATGTTGGAAGTTGTAGTCCACAACAGCTGTCCAGTTGTGGGAGGGTGGAAATGATACATTGTAGCTGTAATTAATGGTTGCCAGGTGAGGGGCTTTGATGTCAGGATGGTTCAGGTGCTCGTAAAATTAATATCAGGCAGCATTTAATGCTGTTGACCGTTTTCCACTCACTTTAATGTTACTCTCCATTTGTAGAACATATCTATCAATATACAAACACACATATTACAAACACGTCAGGTTTGCCAGTTGAGTAATGTTTGTGAAACATTTGTTTTTTTTAAGAATGTCAGACTCCTCCACTGTAGCACTGGTGTCAGGGAAAATTATAAACTGTATTGTAGATAAGTAACTTCTCATATACTTTATGTATACTTCGATAACTATAACTCTCCATATACAACCAGACTGATCACCATGTACACTTCCAACTACAACCAGAATCATCATCATGTACACCTCCATCTACCACCAGTCTCATCGCCATGTTCACCTCCATCTACAATCAGACTCATCGCTGTGTACACCTCCATTTACAACCAGAATCATCATCATGTACACCTGCAACTACAACCAGTCTCATCGCCATGTACACCTGCAACTACAACCAGTCTCATCGCAATGTTCACCTCCATCTACCACCAGTCTCATCGCCATGTTCACCTCCATCTACAATCAGACTCATCGCTGTGTACACCTCCATTTACAACCAGAATCATCATCATGTACACCTGCAACTACAACCAGTCTCATCGCCATGTACACCTGCAACTACAACCAGTCTCATCGCCATGTTCACCTCCATCTACCACCAGTCTCATCGCCATGTTCACCTCCATCTACAATCAGACTCATCGCTGTGTACACCTCCATTTACAACCAGAATCATCATCATGTACACCTGCAACTACAACCAGTCTCATCGCAATGTTCACCTCCATCTACAATCACTCATCGCCATGTACACATCTATCTGCAACCAGACTCATCGCCGTGTAGACCTCTATCTAAAACTAGGCTCATCACAATGTTCACCTCCATCTACAAACCGTCTCATCACCATGTAAAACCCAGCTACAACAAGAAACACAGATAAATTGCAAAACAGTCCATAAAATAAAATAGGAGAAAATACAAGAGATCCTTAGATATATTTACCGCTTGTATATAATTCTTGTGGGAGATTCCGATGTTACAGGTCTCCAAGTAGTTGTCTCTTTCTGCATGTTCCAACATCTTCATTAAATAACTCAAAACTAGTTGTTTCTCAGTGGGCAGACCCCTGGGCGGATCAGAAGGGTTTGGCCTGGCAGTTTATTGCCCACTCGATATTTTCTTAAATTATGTCCTTTGAAGACCCCAAAGTCAGAGCATACACACCAATACCTTTTTCTGACACCCTATGTCCAGCTTTGGTGATGGTTATCTAGTCGTTACATTTTATGGCTTAGGCCTGGTGTTGGATCAAAGTCTTCAATAAATGTTATCCCAGCGTTTCCAAAAACAACTCCTAACAAATATCCCATGCCAACTCATGCTTTGGCATGACGGGGGGAGGACTGTATTATTTATAATGTAGGGACTGACAGTATACCGCGTACACTTTAAGTATACCAAACATACCACCACATACATATTTCAGTATACCAGACATACCACTGTCTCTGACTTCATTACCCAGACCATATCCAATCAGGCTCTGTCCTAAACCGGCCCGACGTCCCCGGATCTGTTCCACCATCAATATCTCCCACCCGCCTAACTCAGCAAAAAAAACTGCAAACAAAACCCGCTGCCAAATTACCCTCCTTATTGAAAGTCATTTTATGAATAAAACAATTATTCAAGTAATTGAAAAAATGTGTTGTTAAATTAAATGCGGTGCTAGCTATTAAAATTTGAGTGCTTTCTGGTGCTGGCGGCGTGAGCCTGTAATTATACCGCTGCTCTCTCTCCTGCATTTATTGGTTTTTAATCTCTTTTCGTGGCGTCTCTTGGATGATATTTTACTGTACAGAATAATATTCTTCTCCTAGGGAAAAGCTCAGCTGATTTTACCTTCCCTCTCTGTGTTGTTATTTATTGGTTTTATTTATTTATTTTAAGCCTTATCCTTCGCTCTTAACCCTTTTTGGCCAGACAGGTTACTATGTAAACCTTCTATATTTGTATTCTGATTGTATGCCCACTTTGTGTTGTCCGTCTTGTTTTTTTTCTTACTTTTGTCCATTCGTGTCGTAAGAGTCACATCCGATTAAATGTTCATTTGAAAGAAAATGCGTAGGAGATTTTCTGGATTTCTACAAACAAGTTTTAATTTGATTCTGTGCTGGTCTAACCTTGTTTTATGAAGATTTGTACAGTTTGATTTACTGTTCCGAAGACGATAGTGTCAAAACTGCTTGTTGAACTAAATTCAAAAAGCGGCAACGAGACACGGAAATGAAAAGGTAGCTTTTGATTATTTTTGCTCTTGTCTAGATTATGTTGTAGAGCCTGTGCTCTTTGTGATATTGATTCCTTCTTTTTTTTTTTCGTATTCTTTCTCTCTCTTTTATTCCTTAATCTTGACCTTGGCCTCTGTTGCTTTGTTATCATTCCTGTGAACTGTAAAGTAGAGACAGTATTCTGCCCCAGAGACGATTACATACATTCGGGTACAATGTTATTTTTTTTCATTTTGTAGATCTGTGCATCTGCGGGGAAATACTAATAGTGAGTACAGTATTCTGGATTTAGGCATTTCCCAGGTCTGTCCTAGTGGGGATACAAAAATAATCTCGACCACTAGTGTGCCACAGAAATGGGTTGGGAATTGTTGATATAGAAAATCTCGTCATACTGGACCACAGTCATACTTTAGAAACACATATTGCGCTCCATCCAAAGTGAAAACTGATCTTTGGTTAAAATAATATTACACTGATTGAATAAGTAACACAGACCCATTTAAACTGCATATCGTAGATCAGCCAAAGCTGCATGTCTTGAATAAATGGGGGGTGATTGATGGGCCATCTTCATTAGTGGAGAAAAGGTCTACATCTTGCCAAACGAAGGTAAAACCGCCCTTGAATGGGCAGAGCGTATGGTCTAGAGAGGGGGCAAGCAACCTTGAGAACCCCAGATGTTGTGGACTAGATGTCCCATAATGATGCAGGGCATCAGTAGATGTAGTCCACAACATCTGGAGTGCCGAAAGTTGCCTACCCTTGGCCTAGTGTGGGCATAACTAATCATTTACATTCCCAAAAAGAAAAAAAGCACACATTTCCAAATTGTAATCAGTTATAGTAATCAGAGCCATTTGGTGAGGATCCAAGCTTTTCAGTTGCACTCATAGATTAGGAGAGTTTCAAACTACTTATGGCATGCATGTACTCTTTGAATTGGCACCTCAGGGTACCACCCACAGAGAACAAGCCATTAAAGAGGGGTTGTTTGTCCATTGTTTGTCTCTTGTGTTAAGCCCCCGTGTTGAGCCATCGATAGAGCTCTGTAAAGTACCTCCTAAAAAACAAGGTGTCTAATATAAAAATTCTTCAATTCATTACTGTCCCAAAACCTCGGATTTCCAGCCCTGCTGTGACCACTTTATACAGTAATTTTCATGGCAAATTGAAATCATTAACTGCACATTACAAGATTTTGTAATCTTAATAATTTCATCATCTTGTGTAAATTGTTTATTTCTCATACCTAATTATCCGTGGGAATAGGACTGCAGAGCTCAGTGCTTTCTTACTTTTGGGGGATTGCATTTTATATAGAAATTTACAGGAGATAAAAACATATTTTGAGATACAGAGCACAAACTTTTACTTTTTGTCCTAATAAAGTATGTGGTTTGTTTATAACGTGTCATCCGCAGCCATTCTATGATAATATGGGGCGTGTGTAACCCATTCATTCCCCTTGAAGGTGTAAATAATAATTGATAACTTTAAATTCTGATCTTTTTAAAAAAAAATTAATCCTGTAATGGTACACAAGGTGGCATTTGATGGCGGCCATCATGCCCCGTGTATACGATTTTGTAACAATACCGATCTGGTAATCCTGTAATGGTACACAAGGTGGCATTTAATGGCGGCCATCATGCCCCGTGTATACGATTTTGTAACAATACGGATCTGGTAATCCTGTAATGGTACACAAGGTGGCATTTAATGGCGGCCATCATGCCCCTTGTATACGATTTTGTAACAATACCGATCTGGTAATCCTGTAATGGTACACAAGGTGGCATTTAATGGCGGCCATCATGCCCCGGGTATACGATTTTGTAACAATACGGATCTGGTAATCCTGTAATGGTACACAAGGTGGCATTTAATGGCGGCCATCATGCCCCGTGTATACGATTTTGTAACAATACGGATCTGGTAATCCTGTAATGGTACACAAAGTGGCATTTAATGGCAGCCATCATGCCCCGTATATACGATTGTGTAATGATACCGATCTGGTAATCCTGTAATGGTACACAAATTGGCTTTTAATGGCAGCCATCATGCCCCGTATATACGATTGTGTAATGATACCGATCTAGTAATCCTGTAATGGTACACAAGGTGGCTTTTAATGGCGGCCATCATGCCCCGTATATACGATTTTGTAACAATACGGATCTGGTAATCCTGTAATGGTACACAAGGTGGCATTTAATGGCAGCCATCATGCCCCGTGTATACGATTGTGTAATGATACCGATCTGGTAATCCTGTAATGGTACACAAGGTGGCTTTTAATGGCAGCCATCATGCCCCGTATATACGATTGTGTAATGATACCGATCTGGTAATCCTGTAATGGTACACAAGGTGGCTTTTAATGGCGGCCATCATGCCCCGTATATACGATTTTGTAACAATACGGATCTGGTAATCCTGTAATGGTACACAAGGTGGCTTTTAATGGCAGCCATCATGCCCGTGTATACGATTGTGTAATGATACCGATCTGGTAATCCTGTAATGGTACACAAGGTGGCATTTAATGGCAGCCATCATGCCCCGTATATACGATTGTGTAATGATACCGATCTGGTAATCCTGTAATGGTACACAAGGTGGCATTTAATGGCAGCCATCATGCCCCGTATATACGATTGTGTAATGATACCGATCTGGTAATCCTGTAATGGTACACAAGGTGGCCTTTAATGGCAGCCATCATGCCCCGTGTATAAATAAGAAGCACAGCTTCTTGGACCATATGCTACGAAGGTAGTGACGATTTCAGCATTTTATTGTGTAAAGTCCCCAGTCAGATAAGTTACATAAAGGGCACTTAAAGATGGCCGTCCCTCGAACCACGAGTCAGCCAGACGACGCACTGGCAAGTATTTATTGCCAAATAATACACAATTATACAGGTTATCTTTATTTTAGTTTTTTTTAATTCGTATTAAAAATGTTTTGTGAAGGTAAATCAGTCGCCATCTTTATTAATAAATCATTATTTTTGAAACAAAGTGTAAGCTGTGGGTAGATTTGTAAATACATCTACTGGTATTGTGTTGCAGAGAGATTACTATATATATAGCGCCAGCAAATTCCGTAGCGCTGTACAATTAGAGATCCTCTGTAAGCTCTGGCTGGGAGACTGTCGGCATCCTTGGAACTTACACATTGCATTTGTGTATTTTCTACTTTAAACACTATACGAGGAGGAAATGCAACTAACAGTTTAGCTATATTTTTAGTTTCCTCCATTGGGAGCGATGTAGCAGCGATTGCTGACGTCCTGCTCCTCACCTGCTGGGAGCTGACACAGGGCTTAGGAAAGGAGGATTTTAATGCTGCTACTGTGCTGAAATTGCTTAGAAGGTATTTTTACAGCACTGAAATTGGGGATTGCTGTGCAGAGGACAGATAATTGTGTTTCTGATCATTTTAGATGTACCCTAATTTCCTGCTATTCTCAGGGGTGTAATTACTGCAGGTACTGCCTGGGCTGTAAATAATGTCTGCAATTCATGGGATCAGTCCTCGCTGGCAGGATACAAGGATTAATAAAGTTATAGAATTCAATTATCGGGGTATAAACTACCGCTTAAATTGTG